CAAGCTAAATAAATGTAATTTCAAAAATAAAACTATAAATTGCAAACAAATCATTTGTGTAATCATGTAAACTATTTTTGCTCTTGCTGTAGCTCTCTCGTTTGCGCTCCCTCATTTTTTGTTTTTGATTCTGACACAAACGTCCCAGGTAGGCGGAACTTTCAGGGGTGCGTCCCCATTGGCTACTCAGTTTTTGAGTGACAGCCCATTCCTCCAGCGATTGTACAGTGCAGCTGCGGTGCGGTAGCTGAGCGTGGATAGAACACCCCCAGAAGAACCAGCATTTCAATTATTATAATACTACAAGCAGGGCCGGCCCTAGACTTTTGGGGGCCCTAAGCGAGCTTTGGCTTGGGGGCCCCCCTCACTCTAGCGCGTTCTCACTACACACAACACGGAACCAACTTTTGTCTTATGATGTTAGCATAAGCACACATATTGTATAAATAAGCATGTAAACACCGTGTACCTAACATCCTCTAGGGGGGTCCTCACCTCCTTTAGGGGGGTCCGGGGGCATGCTCCCCCGGGAAGATTTTTTTTTAAATATTGAAGTTAAAAGCATCAATCTGGTGCACTTTGAGAGCAAAATTAAGAGATCTATGGATACATCTCTCAACACCCATATGAAACAGAACTGTAAACAGATTTTTCTTTTTGGATATTTTACAAATCACTCCCCTTTTAAACTGTATTCTTTTTTGGTCATATAGTATTTCATAACTATTTTTCATTTATTCTCTCTGGCTGTCCATCTCATAATGTTCACATAGAAACTAGCTGTCAATAGTAATATCATTCAGAAGAATTATAATTTCATGCAAAAATCTGTCACAAAAAGAGGTTGCACATTTACATTCAGGTGTTGTTATGGCAACGTCAGTGGCCAAACAGCCACATTTACTGCTGCAAATACGTTCAATCATGCTGTCGACACGTAAAGCAGTGGCAACTATGCCACCATTTCAGCTGACTTTTTCTCAGAAATACTGTCACATAACATCCATATATTTCAGTGCTAGGTTGATGCTTAGCTAAGCTAACTATGAAACACTTTAACTGACAGGACTCAGGATCAACTGTGTACTGTAAGGTAGCTTCTAGCTTCATGTCGAACAGTAAGTCAACATTTCCCAGAGAGCTTTCTTTGAAATCACCAGGTAACGCTAAAAAACATTACATTTAGATTGTATGACAAAGTGTTTATTTAAAGGGGACCTATCATGCAAAATGCACTTTTGTACGTCTTTTATACATGAATATGTGTCCCCGGTGTTCCAGGGAACTCACCAAGTGTCAGAAAACACAACCCTCTCTATTTTCCTCCATACCCAAATCTCTAAAAACAGGGCTGCAACGGAACTGATAAAAACTGATCCAGATTTGAACACTTTACTGACGTCAGGAAAGTGGCGCTACGGCTATTGGGCCAACTCTCCACCTATCAGGGGAATGTGGGGTTGGGCCACGGCCGGCCATTGCCGCTCGAAAGCGCTGGAGACGCTGTAGTACATATGCCAGGCCTGTAAGTGGCGCTGTAGTCTGCCACAAAAGCAGCGAAGAAGAGTTCCCGCGCATATGGTAACCATGGTTACCCTTCTGTTTATTTTCCGCTGTGGCTTTTTTTCTCCCTCCCCAAGGCAAGCGTTTGCTCCCGCTGCTTTAATTCAATGCAATCCCTCCCCGTCGAGGCAAGCACTGTAATTCTCTCCAGTTAGTCCACCAGCAGATGACAAACACCCACCTCTCCGCCTCTTCCAAGGAACGAGGGGACCGTGTGGCAGAGTTTCAGTTAGGTTTTCTTTCGCCGGTCAAGATGTCCGTTAAAGTTGAAATATTCCGGACAAAATTAGAAAAGTGCCGGTCAAAGGTCTTCTTTGTTATTTATTGAGCTTTAAAACAAATGAATAACCACTCTATATAGGCTATAATAAAACACGGAGGACGGAGATCTCTTTTTCTCCCCCTCTTCTGACAGCCCAGCAGCTGATCAGAGCGGCTCCCCTCTCCTGCAGGGGGGCGTGGTCAGCTGCAGCTCACAAAATCAGACCTGTAGACAGCAAACAACACATAGAGCGAAATGAGGCATGGCTAAAATGCATGATCTGTTTGGTATTTCGAAAACAGAAACGTATAAATATACCTTATATAGGTATGGCCCTACAATATATCATTTAAATATAGCATGATAGGTTTCCTTTAATATATCTGGCTAGCTATAGCTACTTGCTAACGGTTTAGCTTACCCCCGCGATTCAAAGTAACGTCAACGTAGCTGTAATTTCTCCTGGCTCAAGTGCTGGCTCTGGGGTTGTTGTGTGAACCACCACTTGAGAATTGTCGTCTTTTTTAAGAACAAATGTTCTTATGTCCATCTTCAAAAACTCTGAGTCTGAGACTGACAGTTTATTTTAAACATTGTCACAGCTCACAGGATAGGTACCTGTCAGCCAATAAGACAGATGTTTATTTCCATTCAATTCTCAGGTTGGTCTGGTGCCTTGCCTCTGTTGCATTCACTGAACACGGGAAATTACAATCCTACCGTCCTCTCTAGTGTCATGATGAGGTTCAGGTAAAGCACGGTTAATGTATTATATGATTGACTCAATAATATAATACATGACTTTGAGTAGGCAATCTAGGCATATTAACAAAATTAATTAAACATACTTATTACGGCGACGGTGTACTGAGATAAAAAAACGGTGTACTGAGATAAAATTAAATTAAAAAAAAAATGTTTTTCATTTTTTGCTAGGGGGCCCTTCGTGGCTGCGGGGCCCTAAGCGGCCGCTTATGTCGCTTAATGGGTCGAGCCGGCTCTGACTACAAGTGAAAATATATGTAAGTATTGATCATTTGTGTTGTTTGTGCTGTACTATACGGTCTGTTTCTTTATTGTGTTAGTTAAGTGAGAAGTAAAGAAAAGCTGTGCTATGAAAGTTAGCTTTTGCTACCTTTAGATCCATAACAATGCAAGCTAAGTAGCCTAACAGCAGGGACAGTTAGCTACATAGCTAGCAGTGAGTGAGCGTTCAGACACTGGCGCACACACTCAAACAGACTCGTGTGCCTGACTCTACCAACAGGCTTTCATGATTCTGTTTAGATATGCAAGTATAAGCCATGATAGCTTATTTTATTAACACGCTAATTTGATATGAAAATCAATGGAGGCTGAGTTTACTTCTTCTCTTTGTAGGAAAACCTACCATCCATGACTGCCCCTGAGCTGAGTTTTATTTGTTAACTTAATATTTTTCATTTCCTAAAACATTTATTTTCCTCTCATATTAACAGCGTGGATCATTGAGACAGCGTGGTGTCCAGAGGTCTTATCCCGTTTTCCCACTTCCTCTGAGGGGACAGCATCAGATCCACGGAGAAAGACCTGCACCAGCTTCATCCACGCTGGGCGTTGCTGTTATCACTTGCTCAGTGTCATTTAATTTGACCAAATGTCTTTACATATACATTTAATATATTTTATTATTATCCATCCACCTTTTTGTTTTATGTCCTTTTATTTAAAACACTCTTTGAGACTTCATCTTCTGGTTAAAATTTCAATAAATGTAATTTGTATAATCACTCTTTTGTCTTTATTCTACATGAAAATGTTAGAGATTGCATTCAAATCTGTTGATTATTCATATCTTCCTCAGGCGTGTGTGTGTGTGTGTGTGTGTGTGTGTGTGTGTATTAACCCCACCCTCAAGCATTTTTCAGGGTATAGTTGTAGGACTAGTACCAATGAATGGAGCAAGTTTCATGAATGTGACACTTTTATTTTGTAAGATAGCAAGGGGGGGCATATTGTGATAACCAGGCCTGTCATAAAATGCACCCCACCCAAAAAGATGTTTCTACTATTCCCACCCTCAAGCATTTTTCAGGGTATAGTTGTAGGACTAGTACCAATGAATGGAGCAAGTTTCATGAATGTGACACTTTTATTTTGTAAGATAGCAAGGGGGGGCATATTGTGATAACCAGGCCTGTCATAAAATGCACCCCACCCGAAAAGATGTTTCTACTATTCCCACCCTCAAGCATTTTTCAGGGTATAGTTGTAGGACTAGTACCAATGAATGGAGCACGTTTCATGAATGTGACACTTTTATTATGTAAGATAGCAAAGGGTGCATAACGTGGCAAAAATATGCTGACAAAGACTATGTAACATTTGTAAACATATATTTTGATTATTATATGACAAATATGTAAAATTAAACAATACATTGTAAAGCACGTGTATACAGACAGGACATAACAATAATAACAAAACAAAAAGATTAAAAAAAAAAAAAACTGAAAAGGAAGTGACGAATGAATTTCGACACCACTACCATCAAATACGGAGCGAAAAGTTTAACCACAAGAATCAAGACTATATGAGCTACCACTAAACAACTCACAGTCTGAAAATTACCATTAATAAAAACCCTGAACGTTTACTTTTCGTTTTAAACATCGTTTTAAGGTGTAAACGTGTCATTTAGAAATGCGCGTTCCCGTGACAAGGGGGGCATTTCATGATGGGGGTGCATAATTTGACACAACACCGGCACTCAGTACGGCAAAAATACTTGGTGTGAACGCGGCAATTGAGAAAGAAGCAAAGAGAACTGCAAACAAAAAAATATGTTAGAACAAAGAAAACAGACTTGTAGTTTACATGATAACACAAATGATTTGTTTGCAACTTATAGTTTTATTTTTTAAATTAAATGTATTTTGCTTGACTCAGTTTTTTTTTTCTCTTAAACTCTTAGTTTTGCTTGATTCTGAGAAAGTGTTGCTTTATCTTTATGAAACAAAACTAATCCCATATATTTGAAGCACATTCCTGTCAGTGCAGTGCAGACAGCAGTCCACAGTGGAAAAAGGAAAATGAGAGGTTTAGCAAGAAACAGGAAAACCGCTATGAGAACACATTCCAGGCAGAGCCGACCCTGTGCAGCGGGACAATAAGGGGTGGGACAAAGCTGTGCTCTATTTAGACATCTGTTATCTAGCATTTAGATCAGACTTATTGACAACCACAAAAAACCTTCATACTTAGTGGTAGACGACTTACTGAAGGAATTCACTTTGAGGTTCTCAGAGCGGAAGGAGTCTGGTCTGGTCACAAACCAACGACGATTTTGTCGGTTTATCAACTCAGATTTGAACCGAGATGAGATAGCTTTTGGTGGAACTGCCAGCTCTTTTTTTTTTAATATTTCACTTTTTCGGCAAGCGGAAGATACTTAGTTGTTAAACGAGTGGGCAGATTTTAGTTTTGGATTCAAGAGGAAACACTGCGGGCAAACTTTTACCAGAGAAGGCGGCTGGTCGTCACCGGAGGAGCAGGAAAGGATGTGAACATCTGCAACTGAGACGAAAACTAACACGGTTTACTCCACTCTCTAGAAATGGAGCCAGCTGTGTTTTAAACTTACCTTCTTTTGACTTTAAACACGTTGGCCACGGAGGGACACTTGAAGCAAACTTGGATATGGGAGACGTGCGGCGTTTATTTCTGTTAAGATAATAGGCGTGAAGACAACAGGTAGGCTGATGGTGTAAAAAGCATCGTTTTTTTTCTCCTGTGGGTGTCTTATGCTTTGCTGTGATCATTAAAACCATAACAAGTATATAATAGCTAACACATGAATGCTTATCACCTTTGACAGCGCCATAAATCACTCCACGTGTTTACAGATGTGAACCAACAGGTGTCTGAAAGTGGCCTACCTGGCCAAAAGTCAAATTAACAACAGTCAATGATGTCCTTAAATGCATCTCCTGTGAATGACAAGCTATAATAAATTAGATACTGAACGCTATATTCACTAGCCTAGTCTATAAAGTAGGCCTACAATGGTAAGGTGTCTTTGACTTAACAATTATTCTAACACTTACTCCACTCTTTTTTACAACATTACATTTTACATGATTAAGCCAATATGTGGCCGATATTAGTTTTTTGAAGATATATCATATATGTAAATGCACAATTTACATACTGTATGAGGTAGCAGCAGCATCCCGATTACATGTGATCGGTTTAAGCATATTTTTTTGAACTATCAAATATTGATGTTGAATCATCCTTTTATCATCCATTAAAAGTATTTAGTTTCGGTCGGGTTATAATAAGAAGCTACTTTTACACTTTAAGATTCAAAATAAAACACAATACCATTTTGTAAATATGAATTATATAGTATAGTATTGTATAGTTTAAACAACCCAACAGGATTTAAAGAAGATTAAATATGTCCGTCCTCAATCAGTTACATAATTTGGATACCATAAGTACATTTTGTCATGATATGTATTTTTTACTTAAATAAGACTTTCACATACTTCAGCTTAAGTAAAGGATCTGAATTATTCCTGCATCACTGGCCAATCCTTATTTCAAAACATGTTGAGTTGAAAAGCTCATACTTTTGGAAATCTGCAGAATTTGCATATTTACTGGATTTACTGAATTTCTCCTCCCTGCATATCTTTAACTCCTCCATCTCCTTCACCCATCCTACACATGCACACCCACATAGGGGAGACATTTGCCCTTTATGTGTATAGGTCATGATGGAAGTCACATTGGATCTTTCCAGGGTGCTGCCGTTGTAGGTGTATGACTTCAGGTGTGTGTCACTCATACTCCTGTCTTCATCCCTTTCTTCCCCAGACATGCATTCATCGTAGGAATGCATGTGAGAGCATGCAAACAGTAACTGAGCCATAAAGCCTGCCAAGCCATAGCTTTGTCTGTGAAATGAAGATACAATCAGTATGTCGCTGTAACAAGCAGACAGTCACTCACAAGAGTTTTTTTTTACACCTATAAAACACACAGGACAGAAAATGTTTGAAATGTGTGGCTATGTTATTAAAGAAAAGATTGAATGCAATGTTTTCTTGCCATTTACACCACATGATAGAAGCTTTTACAGTAACACCGCTTAAAGTTTCTTCCCAGAGACAGAATAATGGGGCTTTTTGGTGTGTTGAGGCCCAGTGGAGGGCTTGTTGGAGGCTGCTGTGCTATGCCATGCCCCCACAATCCTTAGCTATAACCGAACAGTCATCCAGATGGAATGAGAGATCTGCCTCCCTGAGTTAAACCTCTGTAGATGAGAGGAAGAGATGACAATGGATTTGGGTCACGAGGGAGTAGTGTTCAACAGAAAAACAAGAGATTGCCCAGAGAGGAAGTGTGCTTGAATCTTAAATCAGACTGACTACGATGGAGGGCAAGATTACTCTTCTATGTCAGGATGATAAAATTGATTGTGAAATATTTCCTGCTCCTCCGCTGGGAATAAGTTAATGCAGCTGGTGGAGTTTTGTTTAGGCTATTCCTCCAATGGACCCACAGAATAACCACCCCTGACATGAAGTCTGCTTAACAAAGGAAGTGTTTTTTTCTGTATGCTAAAATATGGCTTGTGGTTTTAGCAAGTCAGAGCAAAGTGCAGTTGGTTCTCATCTGTTGAGCTAGAGCCTCACAGCTTACCCGCATAAGATAGTCTAAAGATAGTTTGTCAGACATTTTTTCAGCTTTCTCATGTGAAATCTTACTAAGCGGAAAGTATCAGTTCAGTATCAGTTCAGTAAAGATACAGATATTCTTGCTAAACACCTCCTACTCTAGTTTCTGTTCAGTGACATTTGACACGACTTTACACAATGCCATAGGTAACGGGACAGCTTCCTGTATTGTAAACCAATTGGTTTCTCTTGATTACGGTTTGCCCAACTGGTCTTTAAAGACGTTCAAAGTGCGTCTAGATGTATTTATATTGAGATATTTCGCTTCGATTTGAGGCAAACTCTGACCTGTACAGTTTTGTATCCACATGTTGTCCTTGTTCTGAAAAGACTCAAAATTGCGAGTTGTTGGCAGAAGACTTTAAAAACATCTTGTATCAATTTTGGACCTTACTCTCAGTGGCAACTGTCAAGTGTATCTGAATACACAGCCCAATTGGCGGCTTAAATATCTGGTTTATGTGGTTTCTTGTGTTATGTGCTTCCTTAAGACAGAAAGCTAAAGCATGGTAAATACATCTAAATTCTTCAGTTTTTTATACATCCTCGGTGACAAAGCGCTTGAAATGTATAATGTTGCCTAAACTGTACACAGAGCATAAACTCGAGGCTATTAGGAAACACGGTTCACCCATTTGATGTACTTCATTAGCACAGTGGCAACAGAAAAAACCCAATAGAATTTGCTACAGTAGATGTTATACATTATTTTCAACTACTTTTGTGACTTTTTTGTCATATATTAAGCACACCTTGGTGTCGTGTAACAGACTAGTGTGCTTCAGCAGTGAGAATGACCGAGCTGTGTATGACGGCCCTCCTGTTTGCGTGACCCTCTGCTGTGCAGCCCTAAACAATGAGCAGACCTGAGTCTCGCCGGCCAGCCGGGTGGGGCCACTCAATGGCAGGAAGCGTAGCCATCAATATTTACTCTGCAAGCAGGGCAGCGGAGGAGTCGACACAGGCCTGGAGTCGGGTAGCCAGCGCCACACGCAGTCTCAGCACAAATACACAAACACTTTGCAGTGCTGCATCCTCCTTCCCATAAGCCCCCTTTCCCCACCCGATGCAATTACAACGCAGGCAGACAGGCTGGGCACTCGGCTGTTGTTTCTGACCTCATAGCTTCCTCCTCCAAAGAGTCCGTGCTTTAACCAGAGCTCGACTCCTCACAGACACTATTATGTTACAGTCTGTACATTTTAATCAAATTGCCGTTATTGGTTCCTTGTGTTCCCAAAATGCCCCAGATTAAGTCTTTGATTTTTCTTATTATGACAGCTCCTAATCAAGTGACTACATTGTTTTATAATTTCATATTTAGATCTTAATAAATGTTATTTATTCTTTTGTTCCTTATTCACAGAGATGGGAAGCTCTGCTCTGCTTACAGTGGTGCTGCTCGGGGCGTTTCTGTGGATCTCTGATATCCATGCAGGTGAGTTTACGATCGGATGTAAACCCGATGTTTACTGTCATACAGGGCATTAACTTTGTTGTATTGAATAAACGCTCCATAAAAGGGACAATTTGATTCTGAAAATAAATCATGTGACTAAAATAAATAAGCATCACTAGCACGGACTAAGTCAGTGTGTATGTTCTTTGTGTGAGCTAGAGAATCAAAACACCAATCCTCCTGCATCAAACAATAGGTGGCCTATAATCCCTTCCCCTTCATAATGCAAAGTCTAAATAAGTAAGTGGCTGGTGAAGACATTTCCGTAACTACTCAGGTAATGCTAAACCAAACCACAGCTAAAATGCTCAGGAATATTTTTGCTTACATTTGTCAGGTGGTCGGGCAGCTTTGAGAATTTCTGACTTTGAAATTGTACAATGCAGCTTTAAAGGTCACCTATTGTGCAAAATCCACTTTTTCATGTCTTTTATACATCAACATGTGTCCCCTCTGTGTAAAGAGATTCTGAACGTTTCAGGAAAAAAGATTCGCTCACTTTTTGTCCTGATCCATTTATATAAAAACCTGTCTGAAAATGAGCTGATCAGATTTTGGCCACTTTATGATGTCATAACGATGTTTTGGCTTGTGTAACCATTAGCCACTAACCATTCAAGGTAACCCCCGCCCACCTTATCACCTGAATCTCCTCCTAGAGCACCATTGTGTTCTTTTTAACCAAATATCTCGCAGAGGGGCGTGGGGAGTGGCTCCTTATTTTCATCTAAAGTAACAGACAGAGAATCAGAACTTTTGAAATAGGGCTGAAACAGAGGGGATTATGGGATGCTACTATGAACGATCTGTTTGGTATTTGGAGCCAAACACTTCAGAGACATGTTTTGTATATATCTGAGACCTATTATATATTGATGAAAAACAGTATAATAGGGGACCTTTAAAGATTTTTAACAATTGATCCGTTTAGAGTTTGTGATGTATACAGCCTGCTTTGTGGGTTAAATGTCCTTTCCGCAGAGGTCTATGCAAATACTTTATAGAGGGTATGAAAGTATCACTGTGAATATCACACCTTCATTTAGTCATTCAGACATTTTATTCTTCTATTGTATCCCAAAACACCTCCCCTGGTTAAACATACAGCCTTTGACATCCATGTGATGTTTTGTGCTTGCCAGGAAATCCATTTACATATTTCTTTCTATTACCAAAGGGGTTTTCCCTTGAGGAAGCCTAGGTGTCTTCAGCACTATAATGTATCACTTTACCCACTAATCTTTAATGAATGATTTGTGTTAACTTTGTCTGGCCTCAAATTCACTTTCCTTTTCTTTTACATTTCCCAGATCATTCATCTGTGTTATTTCTCTATGAATCAGTATCCAATGACTCGAAGGCCTTTCTGTTAACACTGTCTGTGTGTTCTTCACAGATGACGATGGGAAGCGTATGTGTACATGCAAGAATGATAAAGGCACATGCGTGAATGGAACGTGCAGAGACGACTACTGCTTCTATACCTGGATACACAAGAAAGAGGAGTGGGGCTGTTTCCCCAAAGAGTATTACAAAGAGCAGTGTTTCACCTCTTTCGAAAGCTACTATATCTCCTGCTGCAGAGAGAATTATTGCACCGCCAATTTCACGCCACCTCCAACCATAGGTCAGCACCCAAACCCTTTTCTTTACATTATTTTAACATCATATCCATTAATGTGACCACTGTGGAACTGGGCCCCCTACAGTTCAGTGCACATCCTGCATTGCTTTGTACTGATGGGACTCAAAGCATCACTCTAGATAGCAGCTGGTTCCCCCTTGTGGTCAGTAAGAGCAAAATTGATAGAGTGTCGCTTTCATTTGGACAGATGCTGCATTGAATGTCATGATGTGTTGAAGTATTTATCTAAAACATTCAAACTTCAAGTCCTCAATTTGTTGAAATGTTCTCAACTAGCTCCACAAACTAAAAAATGTCTGTTTGTGCCTAAATGGGTTTGTGTATCCAGATGGAGAGGTGAAAGATACAACTCGTCTGGAGCTGTGGATCACGTTGTCTTTGCTCCTGTTAATCACGACTGCCAGCGTGTGTGGCCTGGTGCTGTTCCTGCGCTTCCGACGTGCGCATGGTAGACTGAAAAAATTGGAAGACCATGATGTCACCATGCTCAAGGTCCCAAATGGAGAGGACCCAACATATGGCGTAAGAGACATTTGACATCAGACACAATCACAGGATGTTTAAAGGTTTTGAGTTCTCGCACTTGGATTATTTCTCTGTTTCTGTCTCAGGATATCTTTGATGAGTTTTGTACATCAGGGAGCGGGACCGGACTGCCCTATCTGGTCCAAAGGACTATGGCCCGACAGATCTCACTGGTCCAGTGTGTCGGTCAGTCTCCTTTTTTCATCCCTGCTACTCTTCCTTGCCTAGTCTGGTTTATAGCTTTTCAGTTGTGACATTGTGTCACTGTGTTTGCAGGTAAAGGCAGGTATGGCGAGGTGTGGAGGGGAACTTGGATGGGGGAGAGTGTGGCTGTCAAGATCTTTTCCTCTAGGGACGAGCAGTCCTGGTACAGAGAGACAGAGATCTACAACACTGTACAGCTGCGACACGACAACATCCTGGGTAAGGCAGCATATTGCAGTTCCCAAAAAATCGGTTTGGTCATACTATTTTCTGTCAAAGAAAAAGGGGTAGGGTAAATTGAAAAAAGCATCATCCAAGAGACTGACGTTAAATTAACCATGTCCTGTTCTGTCTATAGGTTTCATAGCCTCTGACATGACTTCCAAGAATTCCAGCACCCAGCTGTGGCTCGTCACCCACTTTCATGAGCTGGGTTCCCTCTATGACTTCCTCCAGTACAGCAGCTTGGAGCCTGAGAGCTGTCTGAGGATGTGCCTGTCTGTGGCCTGCGGTCTGGTCCACCTGCACACTGAAATTGTCAGCGCGCAGGAAAAACCAGCTATCGCCCATAGAGACCTGAAAAGCCGAAACATCCTGGTAAAGAGGAATGGGGAGTGCTGCATCGCTGACCTAGGTGAGTTTCGTGCAGAAAAAGGACAGCAAAATCACAATAAATCCTCTATATTTCTTGTTGTATCCATGTCCAACTTCTGCTGTTGGTTATGAATAATATGTTGAGACTGAACAGCTGTTATATATATATATATATGTACATATCTTTGTGCCTGTAGCCATCAGGCTGCACAATCAAGGGCTAAACCCTGTAACCCGTTAATAGTATCCAGGACTGTGCATACATAAAACCTGCACTGTTTTTACAAGACTTTAACCTGCACTCACATCTGCACACTTATGTAAACATATTTAACATTTAACTGTGATATATTTTTTCAACAGTTACTTTATCACTTTATTTTTAAATATTTCTTTTATTATTATATACATTTTAATTAAATGTTATCTTTATTTGTACCTTGTGTGAATCCTGTTTTTGACTCTGACAAGGGGATAAATAGTAATAGAAAGTTCCATCTTATCTTATATGATGATTTTGAAAAATAATAAGAAGTGGGTTCTCTGTGCCTACTCTCCTCAGGTTTGTCTGTGATACACTCTCAGTCCCAGGACTACCTCGATGTGGGAAACAACCCTCGTGTTGGAACCAAGCGCTACATGGCCCCTGAAGTCCTGGATGAGACTATTCGTATGGACGTCTTCGAGTCCTACAAGCAAACTGATATCTGGGCCCTGGGCCTGGTCTTCTGGGAAATTAGCCGCAGGACCATTGTCAATGGTAAGAGGAGTCAGGCTGTCAGAATGGGGCGCCTTTACAGTCATCTAAAGAGATATAAATAGATTTTGTTTAATCTTTAGGAAGAACGAGACACACAGTATTTGTATGTATGCATGTACCTTTAAAAGTTGAGGCTGCTCAGGCACATCATGTGTTTTTTGTCTGTCTGGCTCTGTACACATAAGAAGCAGTAAGTCTCATGTCTCTCAGCACTCCAATGTTTTCCTACTCTGTGTCTGTCTCTACTATCCTCTGTCATGATTAGCACTGCAGTAATTATAAACAGTCTTATCTGGTGTCAGCACTCAATTGTACATAGTCCAGATGCTCACGCACACAATTTGTAGATGCAAGCATGCATCCATGTTAAGGCGACTGCACACACACACACACACACACACACACACACACACACACACACACACACACACACACACACACACACACACACACACACACACACACACACACACACACACACACACACACACACACACACACACACACACACACACACACACACACACACACACACACACACACACATCACCACCACACAAAACACAGCAGCATTGCAGATATCCACCCCAGTGAAGTCGCCAGGGATTTGATATCTTTCCCTGCTCTCTAGTTTAGTCAAACATGCTTTAAAAAACTCCCACTACAGATTATCACAATTCCCAAATGTGCATGAAAATATATTTATATTGTGAAAATCTATCGGGGGAGGTTGAATGGAGGTTTAAAAGTTAGTTTGTTTTTAAACATTACGCGTCACTTACTGAATCCCACAACAAAGAAAGTTGTTGTGACTATTTGGCATTTGTTCTTCAGCTCATTTGGAAAAGGAACAGCACACTGAGTGTTGTTTTTGTCTCTCTTTTGGATTGTTTTAGGGATTGTGGAGGAGTACCGCCCTCCCTTCTTTGACCTGGTGCCTGTAGATCCCAGCTTTGAGGAGATGAAGAAAGTGGTGTGTGTGGATCAGCAGAGGCCCAGTCTGCACAACAGGCTCCATTCCCATCCTGTAAGCCATCTGATGAAACTTGCACACATTTCCATGCACACACGGGTACTCTTGTTTTTTATGTGGCTGTAAAAGTCTCTGCACAAGTTATCACACCTGGTTTTAGTCTATAGTTGGAAGGGTTAATCAGCATTATTTCCGGAACTAATATATTAACTTATTGCAAACTCAAACAAATCAGTAATGGATCAGATCTCCTTGAAGCCACCAGACTCCATCGACAGAATCAGTTATTTTACATGACATAAAATACACTTCATCTAAAAGTCATCAAAAACATATTTGATAGGCTTTCCAGTGCTCCAACATGCACCAACTCAGGATTAAAAGTTTGAAAGACAGGCTGAATAAGTAAGAGCATTTTTTAAAAGCATCCACCGTAGCTGCTTTCAACTGTTTACTATGCTTCCCCACGTGTTTGTGACATCAATCGCTACACACTGGAAAAAAGAGAGAAGAATACTTGTCTGCTGGCAATGGGAAAGAGTAAATCCCCTATCTTAAGCAGATGTTCACACATTTTCATAACTCACAAATTGGTGCAAAGTAAAGCACATACCCTGTAGGACACATAATTACGGTGCCTCACATGTTTTATTCTACTGTGATGGCCAAGAAGTAATTCATATGGTCCTGTTTTTCCAGATCCTGACGGCCATTGTGAAGATCATGAAGGAGTGTTGGTACCAGAGCCCATCAGCCCGCCTCACTGCCCTGCGGGTGAGGAAGACTCTCTCCAAACTGGACACTGACAGTGACTTCAGCATTGAGAAACTCAAGCAGGACATCTAGTCCAGAAAGTCGGGAGTTAAAGGGGACAGACAATTGAGAACGCCTGAAGGGAAAATGCTCTACAATCCGACAGCACAAGGTGCATATCATTAGCATCATTTCAAGATAATAACTCACACAGTCACTGTATTATATTGAAACCATATGACTTTCAGCAACAACGTCTAGACTGGCTCCCGAGGCTATTCTCTGTGGCCTAATTTCCATCTGCCATTTCTCTGGTGCCTTAAACCAAAAGGCCCCAACAAGAAAACTATTGGGACATGTTATATTACTTTTATCATATTCAGCTAATTAAATACTTTTTAAAAGCAGAATAATAAAAACCCACAAATTCATAGAGTCTTATTCATAATTGTCTAAATCCCCCCTATGGGCATGACAGAGAGGGAAGTCTGGCATTGCACAATTACTCATCATTCTATCGAGAAGAGAAGGAGCATGTCATTATGGACTTTCTCTGAAATACATTCAAATTGAACAAATGGGTTTTACCATATAATGACCAAAGCCAAAAAGACGGCCTTGGAGGCCTTGTTTAAGTTAAATGAAAGAAAGAAATGTAAGTAATAAAATACCAAAGCACATTACCTGTTGTGGTAGCATATTTAACTTATATAAAATAAGCATTTATTATCTGCACATGGGCAAATTGAGCTATTTAGTTGTACATATTCAAACTGCATTCAAGCTGTTGCCTTCTATCTCCATTGGATTATTTTATTAAAAAATGAGACACTTTTTATATACTTTCTTACAAAACATTTTCTAAGTATTTTTTTTACATTTCTGTAGGCCAAGAATGTATCATCACCATTACTATGGTCAGTAAATAAATCCACAAACAGATATGTAATATTGTATTATGTTGAATAAAGGATTGTATTTTTCAACAGTTTGCTCTGTAGATACGATTTTTTTACCAATTAATGTTTGCAATTCTCTCTTTGACCAGTAGGGGTCATCAGAAATCAGAGAACCTAATGTTGCTTACAGAACAGCAGCTTCAACTGGAAAATTAAAGGTGTCATTTTGGATTGTGATTTCTTAAAAAAAAGGGTTAAGTCAAATAAGTAATCACAACAACAAGTATATTTAACATATACTACTATCAGGGGAAAGTAGGAGACTTATTATTTTACACAACGTATACATCATCAAGTTTTAAAGCCCATTTGTCACCTGCATGAATGTCATTGAGATAAGATGTGAACATGTTTACATTTTCCCTCAGTCACACTTTCCTCACATAATGAGATGCTAAACTAGAAAATATAAATAAAATCATGTAAGACAAGCCTGACTGAATTCCTAAAAAAACATGGACACATTGGTTAATATATATTTTTTGTGCATTATTCCTACAGTACTGCTGTTATATGCTGTACACATTGATGAAACTAACATAACGTTCTATTTTATAATTATTCAAGGATAATGCAAACATTCAGGCCAAATTTAATTTTAAACTGATTTATAGATCCTGTTTAAAAGAGTCGACAAATCTGTAATTTAAAAAACAGAAACGCCTGTTCTAAAAATCATAATTATTGTGAATCACATTTGTGTACTCCTCACATGAGTCAGAAATATGTTTAGTTTCGACAAGTGTAAGATGAAGAATGCCACACTGAAAAAATACAATATTTATAAAATGGATCAAAATAGCCAAGAATCTTTCAAGTGGTTGGTAAAACAATTGTATCAGCTCCTTCGTGGTGTGTGTGTGTGTGTGTGTGTGTGTGTGTGTGTGTGTGTGTGTGTGTGTGTGTGTGTGTGTGTGTGTGTGTGTGTGTGTGTGTGTGTGTGTGTGTGTGTGTGTGTGTGTGTGTGTGTGTGTGTGTGTGTGTGTGTGGGGGGGGGGGTGGGGGGTGTGTGTGGGGGGGGTGGGGGGGTGTGTGGGGGTGTGTGCATGTTTACTGCCTGCCTGGTTGTTGAACAAACTCCAGAGAGATAATACTCCCTCAAAGCCCCAGTCTGTCTGGTCAGTCCCATAAGAGCTGGTTATTTTTAACACTGCAGGGGGGGTTGTTCAAGTATCAGAGAGGCCAAACGCCCTGTCTGTGAGGGCAGGAGCCCATCTCACTTCTCCCGCTGTGTATCCTTTTTCACAGTGGGATCATTCCAACTGGCTCTGTAGAGACAGAGGGATTTGTTGAGCAGACACTGTTCACTGAAGAAATGTGGAGATAAATTGGACAGGGCTGATAATGGACAGATGATTCGCCACAGAGGACACTATGCAGACACTATTAGGCTTGAGGATGGATCAGTGAAAGTGCTAGCAAGAGTACAGGTCATAAAGCAGGAACAGATAAAGTCCCACATGTATCTGATCCACCTCTTCCCTGGCTACAGCTCGGTGTGTTAGTGGGGCATGGACAGGTCGGGACTCTCAGCTGAGAGAAAACCCAGGTCGGGTCTGGACCAATGGAGCTTTACTGGTCTTTACTGATTGTTTCACAAGCTGTAACTTTCGGATACAGCAGCTGATATGTGATCTGAGATAAACTGAAACTGTAAAGAAAAAATGTGGCAGGTCTTTTTTTATGCAAGCCAAATTGGTCTCAAAGATACAGCTGATAGGACAGCTGATGGAAGTACAGATTAGACAGCTGCAGTGCCCTGAAGCTATAATCCCATAAGGGATTTGTTTGATAATTGATCAGTCACTGACTATGGATGGATAGACACATGTGTCACAGTTTGACTAGCTTAATACTGGTGCTGCAAGGACAAATGCAGAAAGTCCCTCACTTACATCCATGATAAGAGAAAAGGCTTTGTAGACAGTCACAGTTACAATGGATCAGTTTTCCGTTTGCTGAAGAGGAATATGTCAGGCTGGACTCAAAATGTCTACTTTGAATGGGAGGCGTAGGCAGTTAAAATTAGAGTCATGAGTTTGGTGACTGAACCTGTGTTGCATATACATTTCAAAGAAACAACATGTTACTCATCTCATTGCTTCACTATTTTGACCATTGTTTTAAAAGTATCTTCAAAACTATTATTTTGATGTCCTAATGTATGACATTTGATTATTTCAGCAATAATGTCAGTGGAAGTTGGGAAGCTTGACCAAGTTTTTTTCTGAATACATTTTTGTTTTAAAATGTATGTTTTGACTTATCAGGATTGCATAAATCGAGCATAACAATGTTGACCCGAGCAGATGAATGTATTTTGACTACTTCATATTGTTGCAGTTTGTTTCAAGTCTTGAAATACAAAAAAACAATTTAGGCAAAAATACAGAATTAATCCATAATGTTAATTTTGGCATGATCTGAAAAAAACATTGTATATCATAAAAACAAAATCATGATGTGGAGAACAAGTCATCATTTAGTGTTTAAAAAATAAAATGCTGACTGAATACATATTTTTAAGTAAAAATAACAGAGATGTCATCGGCTAAGTGTCAGTTTGACCTTCTTTACCATTATCTTTATGATTGAAATCTATTTCTTAATTCCTAAAAATAACATGAATTTACATTTTCATTAATAAAACCAATGAAGAGTCCCTAAATAAATGTTTTGCTTCAAACAGACCCACCACACCACATAAGTCAAGAAGGCCAAACCAATCCAACCTGACTCCCAATTTAATTATCATTTCATAGATCTGTTTTAATGATTAAACCCATTTCAAATGTCAGAGGCATTTCATGATTCAACATAACCTTCCACTTGTTTTGTTTTGGTTTTTTTATGGAATAGTTTCAGGCCTTTCCTAAGGAGTTTCAATCAAAACTAGTTTATATAGATCCTTTTAAAAATGTGAGATATACCTGACAGATTTTAAAAACAGAAAAGTTTCTGTTAATTTATGATAAACATTTCTAGTAATAACATGGAGTTAGGCTCTCATATTTTTATAGTTCAAATTGATCTTTCTCCACATCCCACATTACGACCCCAACCAATATTAAAGATTGAATGTATTCATCCATAAAGTCTTTGAAAACACATTGCTCCCATCAAAATGAATACTGATTACAGAAGATAAAAAATGCTTGTATCTAGCAATCAAAACTAAATAAAAATGCATATTCAGGAATATGTTATAGAAGGCTGCATCAGTACTGAATTCACAAGTGTTTAATCTGGTTTAAATCTGTAGGCTACACATTACTTTGTTGCAGCAATTACTTTCATGATCATTAACATGCTATTTATTCTGTATTTATTATCTAGTTTAGCGTAATCTTTTCGTCTATAAAATGTCAGAAAAAAGAAAAATGTCCATCCCATTTCCTTAAAGTCCAAGGTAATATCTTTAATTGTTTTGTTTTGTCAGTCCAAATCCAAAGATACTCAGTTAAATTTGACGTACAAAAAGAGGCTAGAAACAGCATTTCGGCCATTTTCATGCAATGGACCAGTGAATTAGTCGAAAATCACATTACATACATTGAGACAGCATAACGTTAAGATGTGTTCATTTTTCACTCAAACGGTGCGTAAACTTTCCTCGTGCACAATCTTTTGATGATGTTAGACTGGAAGTTTGTAATCCATTCAACATTTTGTATTTACAACACACAGCCGTGACCTCGGCGGTGGCAGAAGGGGACATGCAGCGGGCAGCCCTCCCCTTTAAACATGCGCGCACACCCCTTTAAACGCGTCACTCCCCGGGCTGGCTGGCTAGTGTTTGGCGGTGTGTCTGTGTGTGCGGTCGGTCTGTGGCTGTGTTTCAGCTCTGCTCGTGTTGATAACGACACTCTTCGGACGCATTTCATCGCGCAGAGATGGGAATGTTGAAGAAATGGCTCTAAGAGAAGTTGCCCTAACGTTGCTGGCCCTGTGCGGGTTAGTGGCCGTCGGTGAAGGTAAGTTTGATCTGAGCACCTCTCCGGCTTTTGTCTCGATTTGTTTTCCCGGACTGGGCATCGCCTGTTGTCGCTCCTCGTCATGGCGCGTTGTGTCGGGGATTTGGCTAACCGTATCAAGCTAGCGTTGACCTCAATACCACTGTTGCTGTTTGCCCGATACAAAAGTCCCGCTGGTTTGTTCGTTTTGTCTGATTTTGATTTTTATCAACTGAGGAAAAATCCGCCATGTGAATGGTCGTTATTGAACACATAGCAAGTAACCACAACAACAACAACATGGTGGTGGTGTTTGTTTCAAGGCTAACGCAGGCTAGCTAACTGGATAATGAACAGTTTAAAGTTTAATAATGTTGTTAATTGTTTTTCCTTAGTCAACAAAACATTTTAATACAACAATTGTATGAACGCGGTCTACTGTTGTGTAGTATATTATATTTAGTCTACTGTCGAAGTTATCTGTTGCTGGGCTAACATATTTATAAAACAATCTCCTGTTGGATTGTGACCGCTTATCAGTGTTTTGCAATGGGACAACACTCAGTGCTGATAACGGACTGGTTAAACACATGCAATGTGCTCAGTGGCAGTGTCGTCACATGTTTGCACTGGATGGAGCAGAATGGAGTCGCTGAATGAAGGCCTAACCTACTTTGTGCATGAAATGTGTTATTGAGAGTAAACACTGGCAGCCCTTCTATTGGGGTCCATTTGTATGGAGTGAAAAGGCTGCTTAGTGGCCTCCAGCAGAAAGTGAATGCTGGCATAGGGTGACAACAGCCGTGCTTTCAGATACCCAGACAGAAGTCACAGTTGAAGTCTGGGTTCATTGTGATGGAAATGTGGCAAGTGGGGTCTTTTGAGGCGCCAGTTATGGGGCTGCTTCAGTCTGAATACCCCGTCTGCTCCTGCAGCTGAGACACAGCTCAACCACACAGCCTCAAACAGTTGAATCATGTTTCCAAGAATCATAAATGTTTCTCCCCCGCTTAGTTAAGGGTGCAGTACACAAAGGTGGATTGCTTCATTAAAGGCATGCTGTAAATATTTTCACACC